TGTGTGTGTGTGTGTGTGTGTGTGTGTGTGTGTGTGTGTGTGTGTGTATAGGGGAGATAGAGGGAGACAGTGTTTATGTGTGTATTAGAGTACACTACTGATGATTAATAATTAATTAGGTGATCAGGTGAAATTAATTAGGTAATCAGGTGAAATAGAACAATCTTGATTGTTATAGGGAAAAATAGAAAGTTCTTGATTTCTCTCTAAAGAAAACTTATATTTCTAATATCATTATTCTATTGCTGGTGGTGATGTTTGAATGAAATTCATGGAATAACAGTCTTCAAAGAATTAAAAATAATTATTACTAAGTTTTCAACGGAGAGGAGTGGGATGAATATAAGTATGCTGTAAAACGGTATATACAGTCAACTATGAAAGAGAGCCAGAGTGAGGCTGTAATCAAAGAAAAATAAGATAGACAATTTGTGTAGCAAGAGCTAAGGTTAACCAATGGGTATCCCATGTACTACACTGGTTTCTTCTGTATGTCAAAAACAAAAACAAGGAAAAATCTAGAATGTCAGGTGGAACACTTTTGGGAAAACATGGGCAAAAGTGACATAATGTGGTTAGGCAAAGGTAAGTTGCCATCTTTATCAGCAAAGGGAATATTTACTTCAATCAGATCACAAGTTCATTTGAGTATTGATTGCTGAGGACAAGGATATTTGTATTGTTTCCTCTGTTATCTTAGCAAAGGGAACCCAGTTTCACATTACTTAACAGAGCAGCAATATGGAGACATATTGGTCAGAAAGATCATAGTGGAAGGGCAAAAATATGATATGTGTTATGGAGTTATAAAATTTGTGGAACAGAGAGACTTTCTCAAAAGCGACTGAAGTAGGATTGAACCAAAGAGCTGGCTTTAATGACTATTTGGCAAATAAAATCTATCCTTTTCTCCTTTGATTTCCCAAACACCTTTTATTCCCTTTAAGTAGATTTGTGCTTCCCAGCATCATGAAGCATTTTATTCACTCACTTACAGCAGTATTCACTAAGCCAGCCAGCAATGATCTCACCTTACTACAGTATAAATCTAACAGTGAATAAATAACATCATTTTGATTTCAATGTGGATAACACACTAACATGTCGATTTGGCAGTTAAATAATTTATGTCTCTATTGAGTACAATCTATCAGGCTTATTATAACTCTATATATCTGAAATGCATTTCTCGTTGACTAGTTCTCTGCTTCACGATGAAGTTTGTCAATCAACTAAATTAGAGTGTCATACTGACCTTTAGGAAACTATCTATTATTACTATATTTTGTTTGAAGCCTTTTCCCTTTAATTCAAATTAAGGTGCTTAATTACTAGTATTCATAAACTCTGCACTAATTAACCTTGTAGAACCATAGGCTCATTAAAACTGACAACACTGTATCTTTTTTTTTTTTACAGAGGTTATCCAATTGAGTCTACCCGAGGATCAGAAACTGAGCATCACGGCAGCAACAGTTGGCCAGAGTGCTGTTCTAACCTGTGCTATTCAGGGAGCCCTGAGACCTCCCATCATTTGGAAGCGTAATCATGTGGTTCTAAATAACTTAGATTTGGAAGACATCAATGTAAGTACAAGGGGGAAAGAAAAGGAGATTTTGCTTCACGTGATGAATTTCATTCTAGTACTAACCTTGAGATACATGGGGCGTTTGATCCTTGTTAGCTGTCTGCCAGATGATCAGAGACTTTATCTTCTTAATTTGTAATAAGTCAAAAATCAGTCTTTGAAAGTCATGATATGATTTTTTTTTAAATGCTGGCTGTTTTGTGGTTTTATGTTGCTATATAAAAGAGTAGCACAACTGATCAATTTTACTGAAAAATGTTAAAATGGTTCTATAAAAGTTTTGTTTAGTTATGTAAAAACAACTTGCTATTCATTTCAGAGAAGAACTTATGAAACGGAAATTTGCTTTTAATTAACTTATGATCCAATGGAAAGTCATATGTGGTTTAATACATTGGAGTCAGGAAGTCCTGGGATCTACTTGTCTTTGACTCTCAGACTACTTTTAAAGTGCACATGCTATACAAAGGATGTGCTTAGTAGGTAGTCCTTGATATTTGACCCTCATTGAACCAGCATCATAAGAAAGTGAGGTTCCACACATTGCCATCCTTTGAGAAATGAGGAGGGGCAAAGAGGAAATTTTAGTGTGTATTTCCTCTACCACTGGGCATTTTTATAAAAATGACATCAAGTTAAAGCGCATGTCAGAAGCAACCTTAAAAACATAGGGCCCAAAAGCAAAGTAGACAGGGGCAGTTCCTGCTTTACTCTTTAGTGGTTGTGGGCATTTTATGGCTATTTGTCTGCATATAAGTTTCCCACCACATTTTATCATCAGCTGACAGAATTAGTGCCTTCTCACTCACTCACTGCATCACTGCCAAAGCAACAGCAGTACAATGTGGGTTTGTTATCCTTATTTGTAATATTCTAGGAACAACATTGGTTTCCATAAGTGAATCAACCACTCACAGTTTAGTCACTTTAAGTAACAAAAACCTTGAAAAAAAACACTTTAAAGAAATTTTCTGTTATCACATACTCCCCATACGCTGCCTTTTTTTTGTGGGGGGGAGGGTATAATTTTGTAATTGAAGATTGAGTTTTTATATCACATTCATTTCTAAGTACACCCCCCAATAGAGGTTTAGGAGTGGAGGTGGGCTGGAACCCCAAAATCACAACACGCGGATCCTGCCTGAAAGAATTCTCCCCAAATCTTCTTTCAGCCAAAGACAAGGTTTATTAGAACATCTGTCATATTGGCCAGATTCTTAAGGAATCTGAACATTAGTGATCTATTGGCTAACTTCTTAAGGAATCTGAGCAGTGGCTAGATTATAAGAATCTGAGAACCTTAATAGAGACAAGGTGGAATTTATATACAGAAAGACTCTGGGAGGGATCTAGGAGTGGCCAAGTAGTTTGGGGTGACTGGAGGAGGGGTCTAAGGAGGCTCTGGATGGGAGTGGCCAGTAAACTGGGGTGAGCAGGATGTCTAGGACCTGGACCAAGTGGCCAAGGGAGAATGGAGCCGAGCTAGGATTAAGGGTGGGAAACGGCCTGGGGCCAGAGGGAGATGAGACAATGGAGGGCTAAACTAGGTTAAGGGTAGCAGAGAATTAGGAGATTGGGTATAGCCACAATGAAAGGCCAGTTGATGGGATTATAGCCTCAGGGGAACTCCAGAGATTTGATCATGTGTGAAAGTCCAGGGTCTTTCCTTTTTGGGGTCTAGATCCCATTCTCATCACCCCCACAGAGCCACCAAGCCTTTCCTCATAACAAAGATTTAAAAAAAAAACGTTTAGAAAATCAAACTAACCCATCAGCTACATCTGACAGGTTTTATTTATGTAGAAAACACACACACACACACACACACACACACACACACACACGCATGAACTAAACCCATAGAAAATCAAATGAGACTCTTGACTTTTTTGGCTGGGGGCATTTCTTCCAAAGTACTGCACAGACATTAAGGAATCACATGTTTTGTGAATGAAGCTTCAGCAAAAAGAGACAGTATGGTTCACTTCTCTGTGAGCTAAACAATTTTCTTTCCCCAATATAGCCATTCTCTGGTTTTTAGACATGGTTGAACCTAAACCCATGTTCCTTCCCTCCCCTCCAGGATCCCTCCTCTCCCCCTGCACTCATATCATTAATGTCTGGCCCTGCATAAACTCTGATATATTTCTGAAATTATCTTTCCCCAGGATGATTCTTTAACTGCCACCTGATGTCACGGTCTTTCTTGCCAACCTTGTTTTTGCCTCATGGCAATCGCTACTTTGTTCTCATTGCTTAAGTACTTACCTCTGTTTAGTTCTCCTTCTGTACTCTTTCTCTACTATTCCTTAGGTAATAGATCCTTCTTCCTAAAAAATAATACAAGTTCTTGAGCAACTAAATTAAAGAGGGATCACACTAAAAGTAAAATCAGTGTTTAACTCTTCTAAGACTCCTCATGTAAATTTCCAGGCTATTCACTCCTATTCTTTACAATAGGTCCCATAGCTCCACCCTACACCAAGAGCCTTTTTTGGTGTTGTGGTAATCTCCTTCTAGGTGGCCTGCTCTATTGATTGTCCAGTTTTCTTACTAGAGTAAGCCATTCTTGGCCCTCTGTGTTTTGTTCCTATTCTCTGCTAGTTCTCAGATAGCATGTTTTCTACATATTCAACATTTCCCCAAATGCCTCAAGGTTCGAGAGGGGCCTTTCTGCTGTCTCCACCAGATTGTCTTCTGTTAACTCTCGTTCCAAACCCAGCTGGTATGTGACTCTCTTCTTATTGGTGGAGATCAGTATCTGGGAATTATATCAAGGGTGGAGCAGAGTTATATTTTCCTATTCTATGATTACTCCTGATAGCAGCTCTGAAAGTGTGGTCCAGGGACCTCTAAGCATCCAGAGACATTTTCAGGGGATATACAAGGTCAAAACAATTTTTAAAAAATGCTAATATGTTTTAATTCTTGATAATCATGAACATTGATAGATACATAATCTACATAAACAAATTCTCTTTGGAGAGCCCTCAATTTTTTTTAATTTATTATGTATTTTTAACGTTCTTTTCTTTTGATATTTTGAGTTACAGATTCTCTTCTTCCCAACCTTCCCTGAGGAAAGCAAACAACATGATATCATTTATACATGTGAAATCATGCGAAACGTATTTCCATAGTAGCCATGTCACAAAAAGCAGGAATTAAAAGTGAGGAAATTATACTTCAGTTTGCCCTCAGAGTTCAGCATTTCTTTTTCTGAAGGTGGATAACACATTTTTTTTTCTCCACTTGTTCTTTGGAATTGTCTTGGATCATTGTATTAATCAGAAAAGCCATGTCTTTCATAGTTGATCATCATTATGACGTTGATGTTACTGTACAAAATGATCTGGTCCTTTTCACATTTGTGTTTTTTTTTCCATTTGACCAGTTCTGCATTTTGAGGCATTGTTCAGTTAGTTTTTGTACTCAGTGGATTTTTGTGTCTCTTTTACCATTTGGCCAATTTTATTTTTATTTTATTATATTTTTAAAGTATTTTTCTGCCTCTTTTACAAAGTTGTTAATTCTCTTTTCATAATTTTCTTGTATCACTCTCATTTCTTTTCCCAATTTTTCCTTTTCCACGCTTATCTCTTTCTTTAAGTTTTTCAGGAATTCTTGTTGTGCTGCGGCCCAATTAGCAGTTGCTTTTTTTTTTCCTCTGAGGATTGTTTATGGCTTTTTATGGTTAAGTTTTTTTTTTTTTGGAAATTTGCTCATTTTCTCAGACTATTTCTTGACCTTGAATCTGCTCACTTTGGGGTGGGGAGACACTGTGCCAAGCTTCAGGCTTTTTTGTGCTTCTGTTTTCAAAGCTCATTCTGGCAGTCCACAGGTTGTCAATTCTTTGAAGGTGGTTTGTTCCAGAGAGAGGGGTGATCAATGCTCTCCTGGTCTGTACTCTGGTTTTTATACCTTCTTCTCTGTAGCCACAAGTAATAGTGCTCCTGTTGGCCCTCAAACTGTGACCAGGTTCCCTGCTGTCCTTGCAGCCACAAACACTAGCCCTCCCCTTGGCCCTGGAGCTCTGACCAGGGCTCCTGCTCCTTTATGACTGATCACAAACATTTCTCTATGTTCTAGAAATGTGATCCAGAACTGTTTATGGGCAATAGACTTGCCAGTCAGTGCTAGCTATACCTACTGTCAGCAAAAGGTCTCCTGTGGTCTCTTTCTGACCAATTGTCAGATTCTCTTGCTGTCTTTGTGCTGAGAGCTCCTAAATGTGCCGCCGCTGCTGCTGCTGCTGCTGCTGCTGAGGATGCCTCCAAGGTCTACTTCTGGTGCTCCTACCAAGCTGTGAGCCTGCACGCACCCTGGTGTTACAAACCTCTCCTATGAACCTACCAAGTTGTCTTAGGATAAAAAAATGTCTCTTTCTAAACTTTTGTTGCCTCTGATGCTCTAAAATTTAAATTAAATGCTGTTTTAAAGTTGTTTAGAGGGGAATATTGGGAGAGTTTAGCTAGATCCTAGTGTGTATGCCATCATCTTGGCTCTACCCTCCAACAATTTTTAAACACGTAAAGAAGTTCTGAGACAAACATATGTGTATGTGTATGTGTACCTGGATGAGGACATCTAAATTATTATGTTTCCTCTAGAAAGCACAGAAATCCAGGTAGGATAGAAACAAAGTGGGTAACTGCTTTTAGTTCAGATGCTTGTAATGCAAAAAGGGAAGGGGAAACTTATGCTTCCTTATGTATATCTCAGCTGTTATGTTTATCATCATCATCATTATTGTTGTTACTAGTAATAATAGTAATAACAACAAACCATGGAAACATGTATCATTACATATGAATTTTCATCTTGCAACAGCTGTTAAGTGCTTTAAGTTTGCCTGAAAAAAAATCAATGCAATTGTAATCGTATTAATTTAACAATACACAGGCACCATGGATTTCTGACGTAGCTTCATTTTTTCCTTTAAATTAATAAATCAAAGACAATAAAATACCAAAACTTAGCATTTAAACCAGAAGGATA